AGTAAAGAAAAAAGAAAGGCAAAACCAGCTGTACACTGCACCCTGCACCCTGCACCCTGCACCCTGCACCCTGCACCCTGCACCCTGCACCCTGCACCCTGCACCCTGCACCCTGCACCCTGCACCCTGCACCCTGCACCCTGCACCCTGCACCCTGCACCCTGCACCCTGCACCCTGCACCCTGTACCCTGTACCCTGTACCCTGTACCCTGTACACTGTACCCACACCAATTGTTCAAGCTATTTTTCCCCAGATACCGGCGGAGACTGCAGCAAACATGGTTTTATGTCGAGACAACATTTTCTCCAAAGAAATGTATGCTTCTATGCGAGCGAAACCTATGAGAAGGTGATATATTTGAACGTAAATAAATCTTCACAGTTATTTTGGTGTTTTCAAATGCGTATGCGGGCAAGTTTTGTAAACCTAGTGCGTCCGCTACCTTCGGAGGATAAATCTCATAAATGACATTTATCCCATCCCATTGTTTACAGTTGTTGTTGTTGTTTTTTTTTAAGGTCAGTTCTATTCGTATTCTCAATTTACTTCTCTATGTGCTTGTAAATACATCAGCGATGCATTTTCTTTGCCTGTCCTTTACAGTTGGCTTGTTCGGAATTAAACGAACATAGAACATGATATGCTACGCTTTTATTGAAAGATATTCGATTGTCACATCATATTCACTAATCAATTTGATGGAAACGGTGGAAATGTGGGAAGTATTTTTTTTTTTGCGCTCCTCCCTCGCACTCACCAAACGCTTGTCTCCGTTCGCCAATGAGACGCAAAAAAATTACGCCGGTTCTTCGACACTTAGAACTGTTCGTGGCAAGCGGAGGAGGCGGAAAGATCTAAAAGACCTTTGAACGTTTGAAGGTTAAAACTGAACGATTTTTTTATGGTTGATGATTAAACTTTGGGCTGTTTGATGACTGACAGTTAAACCCATTGAGACTCTTTAAAGCAGACGCGTTACCTGAATTAGACCCGAAACTCATCTTAAGGCATGTAATATAATTTTAATCATCGTGTGACCCGTACGGACTCGCGCGCCCTTCTTTTATATGCAAGTACATCCTATCTAGGTTGAGACAAAAATTTCGCAATCTTCAATGCTTGGTGGTAAAATGTTTATTGACTAAGTTTGGTCGGGCCGGACCGGATTATAAGCACTAGCATGACCTCGAGCCCAAACTTTATCTGTCCGGCCCTCCTATCCAGTCGATAAGTATATTTTACGTAATGTTTTCCCCTTTCGAAGTTATGGTGTTTGCCCATATACCAATAAAACTCACAACCAAAAACGGGATGCGCACGCTCCAAAAATTAATCCGCTCTTTAGTTACATTAGGTTTACCTTTCAACAGAAAATCGCCTACATTTTATTCTGTTTAAATGGTGACGATGAACGAAGATATATGCATTCGATTCAATCAAATCAAATTCATAAAAAAAGTCATAAAAACTTTAGTTAACTTATGTAAGCGGTCAAACCAAAAGTGCCAAAAAAAGTTAATAAAAGATAATGGTTACTTACCGCCTTATTGTCACAAGGTCAGGTAAGACAATAAAAGAGAAGAGAAAAGACAGTAAAATCATAAATCAGCAAATTGTGTCTAAATTAACAATTGTTTTAGTTCAACAGTTCAAAATTCGAATAGACAATTAAAATCATACTCACATGCTGTATTGAGCGGTATCCAGGGACAGAAAAGTAACAAAAAATGTTAGTTTAAGTGAGGAAAGAGTAATTTAAGAAAAAGAATGCAGTAATTTCAAAAAATAATCAATGAAACTAGGTTAAACACAAGGAATAAGAAATCGTATCACACTTTTGATAATATTTTTAGGCAACTGGTTGATAAGTGTCATTCTGCTTGTTCATTGCGGGACAAAGTTGTTGACCGGAAATAAGTTTTCGACCTTATAAGCGGACTTGTCAACAATGGCATTTTTGCTGAATGGAAGGAAGCTTGCAGTAATTGCCAGATTTTTGTCTAATTTGCTCCTTTTCTGCTTAAAAGTTTCCTTAATGTTAGCATGAGCGGAGGAAGATGCCAGTTTAAAAAAATATTCTGGTGTACTGTCGACGTTGTATTTTGACCATCCCTTTCTACATCGATATTTCAACTTTCTCAGTTTTCCGTCTCTGTTTACTTAGACCCAGTTCCCTGAAAGTTGTATTTAATGCATTATCTTCTGAAAAAATTATGATCTCTCTCTCTCTCTCTCTCTCTCTCTCTCTCTCTCTCTCTCTCTCTTATGAAAATCTTCCGCACTCGTTTTTCTTAGTTGTCCACCAAACGCAAGAAAGGCAGCTTTAATCATAAGATATTCTTAAACAAACAAACAAACAAACAAAAGGAGATGACAACACATCATTATCCTTAAAGTAATTAGTTCTAAGCTTTCACTTACCGCCTGATGTATTTACATGTATTTGATCCACCGAAGGCGATATCGAGAGCAAAGAAAACAATAGGGATAAGCAGAATTCAAGAATTATAAAACATTGTTTAGTTCAACTAACATTTATAGTTCAAGTAGGCAATACTAACACACTTCCCATCAATCATCATATGGGACTAAAAGCTGGCCTCAGTTATTCTTCATCAACTGTTTTCGAGAGATGTCATTTATTTTGCTATTACAGCAACTGGTATTAGAACATCAAATTCTCATCCTCATCCTCTCATCTTGTGTTTTGTTACTCATGCACGTTTGCGGTATTTAGGAATGTTATGGAAAGGGGAGCAGAAACTGATGTTATAACTAAATTATTAACTTCAGTAATCTAATCAAAAATCACTTACACGCTGATGTATTTCACAAAGGCCGCACATGAGTAGAGAAAGCACAGAATGATAATTAAGTTAGGAAGATTAGATGACAAATAAGTAATCCAATAAATGAATTATGCATCGATTAATTTGAAGCCTCAACATCCCCCACAGGGAGCTCCAGGCGTTTGAACTTTTGAAAATTGATCCGTTCAAATTTCAGCTCCCGGGGCCAAAATTGTGTTTCAATACCCTACCCAAGTGCTGGACTTGATGGTCAACTTCTTTTTAAAAGGCAAAATGAGCGATCCTGACATTCTATAAATTTGCCAAGCCTTATAAGCTAGACCTTGTAGACCTTTTCTCAGGAGCCATTCGTACCCAAAAGTGAACTCTTTTTCTTAAAACACCTCCACATTATAAGTTAAAACACTTGTATTTGACACTTCCGGCTCAAATTCCAACCCCAGCCAGGCGAGGCTCACAGTCCTCAACCCTAGGCACGAACGACAGTTCCCCCACGGGGGAATGTTAAAGCTTTAAATTGATCAGCACATTAATCAATAACTGAAAGAAAAGCGAAGCCATTTGGTCTTGAAACGTTTTTAATGCAATGTGGTGCAATTGAAACAAAAAAAGAAGTATATTGTTCTTAAACAATTTTGATTTTCTTTCGGTGGAACAGAAGTATGGAGAAGTCTTTCTTCAAGACTTTTACCAAAAACAAGTTTCGTTAAGTTTAAGATGGTGACACTTTGATATCTCCTTTGCAGAGAATAAGGAAGAAAAAAAAATCCTTAACATTGAATGGACTCAAATCCACGCTAACTTGCATTCAAAGTTAAATATGATGTCACAAGATAAAGCTATTTATCTAATTTTAACAATCATCTGTTGTTCAAAACATTGCAAAAGAAAAATTAAGTGAGTCCTGAAGAGAGGCTAAAGTAAAATTATTCATTAAGGTTTAGGATTCAGTGTGTGACCTTGAAACATGAGTTATTTTCCACGCCGAAACGCAAATCTCGATTTCTGAATGAAGTACAACGCCTCCTGATCTTTTCTTTTGTCGTTATTAGTTTTCAGCTGGTAGAAAGGGTACAGAATGGGAGTGGTTAGCAGCTTTTTGGTCATGTGACATGTTAGGAGTCACATCTACATTAAGAAATTGAAGTAGCACTTACTTCCTGATGTTTCCGAAGTGCAGTCCATGAAAAACATAGAAAAAGGAAAGAAAAGAAAATCACTGGCTATCACATCCCCTCATTAAAAAAGCATAGAAAAGTGGGAAGAGTAATGAGATATTTCCTATACAGTGCCAGAAATTTAATCAAAATATTTGAATGCTTTTCTTTTGGACACGCAGTTTTTATTATCATAGTGAATGATGCAGCTGACTTAATCCTCCCCTGTGCTTTTTAAAAATTCCCTAAAGATCAATATCAACACCCTGACAGCAAAGGTGCGCACTGTTTTACTTTTCATTCTCCTCCTGAAAAGGAAGAGCTATTGTAAGTCGTGTTGCAAAAACTTGGTGACCTGTGAGCGTATTGTTATCCTGCTCGCCAGGGCAAATAAAACAAATCCATTATATACAAAAACAAGGGGCCTCGCCATGGAAACGTGAAAGACGTCAAACTATCCTCATTTCAAAACTTAATAGGAAAACATAAAACACATTGAATCATTTTTAGTAAATGTTTTGTATACTAGTGACTGTCAACAGTAAGTTTCGATTTAAAAAAAAAAAACTTTCTAAAAAAAATTCCACTCCCACAAGCATAAATGCTTCAAACAGGTGGCTGCTACGCTTCTCTTTGACAAAAGTGTGAATACCACTGCACTGAAATAATTACAGAAAAGTAAAGATGACATAGAATAAGTAAGTGATAAATAACTGAACATATTGTTTTGCACTTAAAAGTTAAGAAATTACTAAAATATCCAAAAGATTACTTACGTTGAGCTGATATTTCCGTGAGAATGTTTCGTACATTGAGAGAAAAGAAAACAATCTCAAATTACTTAGTAACCAGGATTTGTTTATTGCATTTGTAGTTGAAAGAAAATAAATAGCAACAACAAACAACTAAGTAAACAATAAAAATGAAATAGAAACTGAAGAGAAACATACTACGTTGTCAGCAGTAACAACAATAAGAACAAGCCTTAATTTTGCTTACTCGGTCCATATTATAGTTATAGTTATTAATTATTCGATTCATTAAAAAAGAGAGAAGGCGGAGAGACAGCTCCCAATATTTGTTTGCATCTCGACCTGATTACTACAACACAACTCGAATAGTTAGCCATCAGCTCATAGGAAAGGCGACTGCACTATTTGATAACAAACTTACTACACTGCTGTTCATCTGAACCATCACCACAGTCATCTCCGTGATGGCAACGTCTCCATTTACTAAGACACTTTCCATTAGCACAAGTGAACTCGTAGTTTGCACACTTTCCTGTATGATAATACAAATAACTTCAATTCAAAGACAAAATATTGAGCCTGTGTATTTAAGAAAACGAAAAGAACAAACAAAACCTGAAATAATCCAAACAATTTAGACACACTTCTTAGCTCTGAAGTCAAAAACTGTAGGACAGTTATTTTCATCTCCGAGGTTATGCCTTTGTCTCAAAATTCTCCTCTGCTAAATATGTTTGAACCGATACGCAGACAAACAAGCAACTCGCAAGCTGTTGCTACCACAATTTCTCTTGATAAATTTTAATTCACGTCATCCTCAGAAAGGAGAAAGTTGCCGCTGACCGTTGGTCTCTCTGTGTCATGTTTTTTTCTCTTGATTTTTAGATTGATTTTATAAAAATGAAGGGATGAGGACTCGGCATCAAACTGTTTTTTATATCATGAATATCCGTGAATTTCAGTTGTCTTGACAGAAAGGCTTTGTAAATATATATGGAAAAAAGAAAAACTGAAATCAGTGAACATGTTTGATCAGTTTCTTTCCTCCATATCTTATACAGCCTCCCTATCAAGCAGGAAGTGACCAGCTAACTTTGGTTTTTGTTCCGTTTTTGTTGTTTCAATCCATCTCTTGAAATCATTTTTTAATATTTCAAAGACCCGCAACCTTAGATTTTCTATTGATAGTTACATGTAAATCAAATAAATACAAGCGACGTGTTCAAAATATGCCATTACTTTAATGCGGTTATCCGAGCAATATTACAAGGAGACGACACAAAGATATATTTAGATTTATGATACTTACGGCCAGCTAATTGGCGCAGGTAAAACATGAAAGAAAAGGAAAAGTTACTCAATTGGTCTATTGGTACCATTACAATAAGCTCTATGAAATTTTGTGTATGGCGCACTGGCACTGGTGTAAAAGAAACATTTATTCGTAAGCTCTACATTAGCTATTTAACATCCCCTGTGTTGCGACCGTTCGCCTTTTCGCCTTTTCGCAGTCAATTAATACAGTCAATTAAGGCAATACCGATGGGTGCATGACTACATTTCCAGAAAACCTTTTTCAAATTAATATGCTAACGCTTGGGGAACTCAATATACTCGAGAAATCTCGAAGTGTTCATTCACTGCATGCATGCGTAATAATGGTTGCTTTAAAAATTTATCATATAGAGCATTTTACGTTGCAAAGTACAAATCATCATTTCTGGTCTCCCAATTAATGCATTTGATTTTTTCCAACGGTAAGATACAAAAGGAGTTCATCTCGTATATGAAATCGCCGCTATCTCATTCAACTAGTTGCAGTTTATTTCATTCGATTTTAAAGTCACTTTGGTATTACAAACCATCACAAGAACCGTCTTCATGCCATTAGACTTCTTAATCTAAAGATGACCCAATGTGAAGGCATTCAACCAATAGCCAGTTCAGTTTTGTAAAAATACCTCTGCATATGATTTACGTCAAAGCTTCATTTCGCTGTCTTGGAGGTATTCTTGCAAATGAGGGGTTCTTGGAAAATATAGCTTTTTTTTTCTACATTTTTGAAAAGAGAGTGAGCCTTCCAATTTGATATTACTTTTTGAGAATAGCATTTTTACGCTAAGCCCATATAAAGAATAAGAAGATGTACAGAAGTAGAAGTTACCTATCAACCACAGTACTTACTGCATTGTTCGTCTGATGCATCTCTACAGTCAGTGTACCCATCGCAGCGTCCAGACGCGTAGATACAATTTTGTTGATTTGCACAAGCAAACTGATCGCTTCGACAAGTTACTAGCAGATGATTAAAAGAAACACATGAACCGTGACAAAACGTTGGCGCTTCTTCTACATTTCTTACCAAAAATATATAATGAATATTAAGGGCTGCTTCACGACTTGAGCAGCTTACTTTTAGTGATTGATCTTTTGTGATTGACATTTTGCTTTGACTTTTCATTAAAGACAAAGTTTGATAACCATCAACTTCCACTTCACATTTTTTCAGTTTATCGGTATGATTTTATCGAATTCTGTATTTAATAACCTTTTCGTCGATTCATAGTTTCTGAAAGTTTACTTAAAAAACAGCCCGTGCGAATTTTTTCCTCCAGAAGGCGCCTAAGAAGGTCTGACTCTGTCCCGAGAAGAAAAATTTCTTGATGGCAACAAACTCCTGAGATTAGTTTCCCTTTGTTCTCGATGAGAGATAAAGTCTTCCAATCTACTGAAACTCTCATGAAACGATTGGAGTACAAATTGCCTACATCATACACAATTCAGAAGTTCACTGATTCGCCAGTATGTGATGAGATTTACTTTAACCATCATTGTTATTATTACCATCATTAAAAATAGACATTTATTGTCCAATGAAATTTTCATGGAAACGTTTCAAGATGGCGAGTTTTCGATGAAATGTCGCAATTACCAGTAAGACACGCCTCAATCACGGCGAGCTTCTTACCTGAAATTTAAATCTTTCTCATTATTTTTTTAAATTAACGCCAACATGAGATTATGAATGGTTTAGACCGGTTGTTACAAGTACTTAGTGTATCAGTTCTGTCAAAATTCGGAGTGACGGGTTAAGTCCTCCAAGGTCTCCTTCAGATACAGAAAAGCCTGTTCAGAATAGGGTTGGAATGTGTAATGCATTTATCATGCTAAACTTTTTTTGGTTGTAAGGATTCATACGGAATCACTCTGTTGACCAGTAGTTAAACATTACGAAGTAGTAATAGTAACATACTAGCAGATGAGCAGGGGACGGCTACCAGAATGAGCAGTAGAACAATCTGGGGATTCATGGCAATCTTTGTGGAAACAAAAAAAGGTAAAAAATAATCAAAATCGAATGTAATGAGTCAAATTGTTCCTTTTTTGGTAGGAAAGTAAGCAATCCGCTGATTTTTTTGCTGCTTAGGTAAGTTCTCCCACCGATAAAGGAACGATAGGCAGTCTGAGATTGATTGTAGCTACTGATATTGCTATTGATACAGCACAATTTCAATAGCATTAAAAGAAATTGCGATTACTTTTCATAACCTGCCACATCACACATATTTATGAATAACCTGTTCCAATAGAGAAAGATAATTAAAAAATAAAGTGACCAATTGACTTTCAACCAATAGTTCAAGGGTTAAAAGATAAAAATTCATAGAGGGCTCACTCGAAAACCCAACGGTTCCTCCAGCCTCTAGGCTCCAAAATGATACAACTATGTTTATTTTGCCTTTTCATTATAATCATTTTTCTTATTTCATTGTAATTCCATTTTTGTGAGAAATAAAGACTTGTTGTTGTTGTTGTTGTAGTAATTATAACAATGATAATGATGATAATAATGCTACTATGATCACAAGCTATTGAGAAACGATCAAAATTGCATTTGAAAACTTGTTGTGCAATTTGATATTTCACCATTAGGGCTTAAAATGAAGATTTTTTGTTGACATTAGCAACAATGAAGTGTACTGATATAGACGGTCGGTGCAGATCAAAGATAAGGGGACACTGTAAAGAAGTACCATGTGCACGCATCAAGCGACATACGTCGACATACTCGCATAAACACCCGTATGTCCTTCTTGTATGGGCCTTTGTTATTCATTTCTCTACCTGTGCTTTGAGTGGCATTGAGTTGTAAAAAAAAAGAGATGGTACTGTTAAAGCGCTGGCTGCTAGATGAAGTGGGTAAAGGAATTATGAAGACGTCCATGAAAGTTATCGAGTAGAATATGTCTGTCTTATGATAAAAATATGACCGTTCTTTTTTTTTTTTTTTTTTTTTTTTTTTTTTTGTATTTTTTTTTTGTTGTATTGTAATTTCTGGTCACTTACACCTGTATAGTAATAATATGGCCTTTTTAGTAAACTTGTAAGGGTGGAAAAAAAGGAACACTTTACCTTTCTTGCACTTGGCAGTGACCTGATTCAAAACGCTTGTACAATCTGAAAAAGTAAAACATAATCAATTAAGAAATTGGAGTTCGTATCAAACTGAGAAAACTAAAGAATAGAAATTTAATTATTCATAAATACATTTTGATTAACTGTGTTACTTGTTCGTCACAGCATTCCTGAAGCCACTTGAAGTGACTTCTGAATAGGCAAGCTTAATTAGAATTTTATCACCAATCTGCTCCTTACAGATACTCATTCCAGCACGGTAAAAGAAACTGAATTTGACAAAATCGAAACTTCTTGATATCAAATTTGATTGAGCACTTTTAAGCTTTAAAAGTTCAACGCGTTTCAAATGAGCAATTACCTTCGATGTTGTCTTCGAGGTGTTTTAGAGAGAAACCCTCCGAGGAAACAGGTATTTACTCGCGGGAAAAAGACTGTTCTCTTAGGATAGGAGAGAAAATAATAATAGTATTTACAATAATAATGACAATGATACTTGTAACTGTAAAAAAAACAAATACCAGTCATAATAAAGATATGAATAACGATAATCTAGAGATGGATAAATTGTCATTTAACGAAGATCTGATCGGCAAATTAGCTTATTATTCTTTCAGATGATCACAAATTAAAGCTTTGACAACATCAATCTTTTAAACCAGCTAATCAAGAGACAGACCCTTCCAGTTTGCAGCCATCTGGGATCAATATCAGTATCTGGGCAACTGCCCACCTACCCCTCCCCTAACCCAACAACAGTCAATTGATGACAAGTTAGGGTTAATGCTGGGTTAGGGGAGGGGTAGGTGGGCAGTTGCCCAGATACTGATATTGATCCGCCATCTGGAGACAAATAACATTAGGTTTAATGGCGTCATTAGACTATTTGAGCCCATAGTTGTCGAATTCCGCGGAACCAGGAGGTTCGAGTCTCAACTCCTTGTGGGAATCTGGAAAAACTTTTTCTTTAATATTAACCGCTAGCTGTTTGGATACAGTCGTTTTACGAAATTTTGAAATTTAAGCTTTTCCACAAGTTTCTCTTAATGTTTATTATTATTATCATTATTATTATCATTATTATTATTGTTTTAATTATTATCATTTGTCTCGTTTTGCTTTTCAATTTTGTTGTTTCGGTTTGGTTTGTTTCGTTCTCTTTTCATGTCTAATAATTATTTTCTCTTATCACCATCATTTTATATTATTTATTATTATTATTATTATTTATTATTATTATTATTATTATTTATTTATTTATCATTTATTATTTATTATATTATTTTCTCTTATCACCATCATTTTATCTTTCATTTTTTTTTAAGTTATTAGTAGTAATCGTTTACTTGAGATCGAGCGGCCAAGAACAAATAATGCAACTTAACCAAAATACATAATAGTTTATCTAACCGACAGGTGATGTGAAGAGAATTGTCCGACAAATGTTTGTTTGTTTGTTTTTTTATATTCTAGCACACGGTGTGTTTCCCGTCCATTGATAACGATAAGTTATCAGAATTGCATGATCTCTCCCTCACTTCAATTTTTTTTTGTTTTCTTCCTATAAAATGTACTATTTTATGACAAAATACTTCAGCAGTTTTTTCCTTTTTTTGTCAAGAGGAAAACAAGTGAATGTGCGACTATAATTCAGCTATAACGATCACTTAGATCTAGAACTATATAAGCAAAGCTTATTTAACAAGCACTTTATCAGAGATAAAACATACAGAAGCCGAAGTAATCAAAAAAAAATATTGAAATATTGAGATAATGGTATTAACACAACAATAATCTAATGTACGTCGAAGTCACCCCATGATTACAATTACAATTAGAATCAGTACTTGTACGGTGTTAAAGAATGTCTCTCAAAAACTATAAGCTTCAAAATAATTATTTAACAACCGAGTCGAAATAATAGAGATGACGATCATGGGCGATGATTAATTATGGACGGCACATCATCAGCAGGTAACAACTGAATGATACATAGAATAACCATGTTTTCAATGTTCCAAACGGTACAAAAATAGCCAAAAAAATACCTTTCTCTAAGGAGCCTCTCTGAGAATGAATAGATTCTTGCCAAACAAAGTCGAGATTCGCTGAATATAAATATTCCTTTCGCGATGACAAAAACCGAAGAAAGGAAGAAGGTGCCGTTAACTTTGCATAAAGCATGTATTGTATTTCAGAATCCAATAATCATTCTCTTGAAATGTTGATGACCTCACCTCCGATCGAGCCGGTAAGAGGGCAAGAAAATTAGGAGCTTGCAACCATCCGGAGAATTCGATTAACTTCTGAATAAATAGGTTAATATAACTAGAATTTTATTATCACTCGGTTTCGTAATGATACTCAATCCAACACTTTGGAAAATTCAGATCGAGAGTAACTGAGGCATGTTATGGTCATTCTGAAATTTGTTATAGGACTGTTAGGCATGAAACGTTCAAGGCGTTTCAAACGAACTAACACCTTTGACGCTAAATAATTCTGAGGAGAAACCCTCTATAAAACGTGGATAATAGGCAAACAGGGGTGGACTGGGGGGAGGTTAAACCTTTAACTTTCAAGATCTGATTGTTAATTCTCCCCTCTTTGTGCTACACATTTCCTTTTTAATTGGATACAAGAATTTGATGTTAGATCAAGATAACAACCTCTACCTGATAAGTTTGAATATTCTCATTACCTGTCTGCTGAATAATGTATGGATATCATAGGAAGAAGATTCATAGTGATCACCACTGGGAGTGAAAGGCTAACCAATCCCACTTCCCCTGATAAAAATTTTTAAAAGAAGTAATAATAATGAAAAGAGAAGAGAAACAATATCTCTTGGCAATAAATTTAATCTAAACGCCCACCGAGTGATGCATGTCGATTTTTTCATGGTTTACGGAACATCTTGCAAAGATAGAAAAACACTCATTTGAAGAAACACTGGATTAGTAGAAAGGCTCCAACATATGGAATAACGTAAAAGATAACTTTAGGGAAAAAATAAAGCAAGTCAAATGACATCGACCCCCCTTTTCTCCTTCGCCCCACTCCCTCCCCCACCCCCCCCCCCCCCCCCAAAAAAACAAACAAAAAAAAAACAAAGAAAAAATAGATTGACGCCTTCTTCACAAGGTTAGTAGATAGGAGTGACGGAGACAGAGGAGCCTTTTCTTCTTCGAAAGACCCCGGGAGAGGGGGGAGGATGAAAAACAGACTCTAACTTAGTTTGAAATGTCAATCATAGACCACATTGAATTCTTGCGATTTAGTGCTGCTGCCATATCTATTTTGTCTACGTACTAAAAGAAATATCTTTGAAAAATTCGTGTCAAGCCTGTAACCGATCTTCAATCACAATATCCGCAAACAATAAGTATGAGATTATTAATTTGATCCGGCGTTACAAACCGGAAATGAAATAACCGACCGCACTTCATTTTACTGAAGAACTATTGCTCCGGGGTATGCGCGACCGAAGTCAGCGGAAAATTATTTTAAAGAAGACTGTTACAAAAGCAGTCTTGGAACAATGCAGTTTATTTTATAACATAGCAAGTAAATTTGTCTAATCAAATTCAATTGCGCGAGCGTGCTTCATATTCCTATTGTGCATGCTCATGACGTCAGCAAACAAATCCCTCCAAAAAAAATTTTTTCATCGGGTTGAAAATGTTATAAAACAATTGGTTCATACGTCAGCTGTGTGTTCATCGAGATATGAAGCACTTGGGAAGTTTGGAGAGCACTCAAGAAGCTAGAGTTGCTCTCGGCTACGCCTCGAGCAACTTTTGCGCATCTTTCGTGCTCCCCAAACTTCCCGCGTGCTTCATATCTCGATGAACGCACGCTGACGTATGAACCAATTGTTAAATAACGCCGGTAAATTCCTTTGAAGCTTTATTTTATCCTTTTCGCATGAAAACAAGAAAAATGAGCATTGCTGCCCCTGAGCTCTTAGCTTGAATTCTTAGCTGTGCTATCAGAAAATCACAGATGGAAAATTAGCGTTTTCCTTTTTAAACTGTATCAGCGTGAAAATTGTTCGCGCTATGATATGTATCGCTCTCTTTAGGAGTATTTTTTTTTTCAGAGAATCGCGTTTGAACATCTTGCATTTAACTAAACAGAAAAAAACAGCAAATTGAAACTTTCATAAAGAATTATTCAAAACTTTTTTGATAACCGCACTGAGTTTATCCACCCGTAACTCATTTTTTCTTTGTCCCACGCTCGTGGCAAGACGAAAACCATCTTTTTTTGAAACCAACCATCACTCTTACATAAACACAAGAGAAATTCGCCAATCTGATCTCAATGACACCTAGAACTATGCTGGCTGCAGACCTACACTCCTGGTAAGGTCACCCATGCCGAACAGATCGATGGGTAAAAAACTAGACTAAGGGTGACCCCCTGGTCCTCAAGTTGGAGTTTAGGCGCAGGGTTAACGACCCTGCCCCGTAGAAAGAAACGCATGTTACAGAAGCCGGATGCATTAAAAGGGATGCTTAAGACAGAATCACAAGAAAGATTGCAGAGATGGGTAGAGCACTTGAGTGAAATTTTAAACAGAGATGACCCAACAAATCCAGTGGGAGAGAAAGAAGAAACAGGAGAACTGGAGTAGTTGAGGAAATAGATGTGGGAAGATAGCGAGTACAAGAGGTTAAGGACGCGCTAAGTAAGACAAAACCACGGAAAGTGGCTGGAAAAGATGAAGTGGGCCCAGACCTACCGAGAGCTGACATGTAATACACCGCAGGTAGACTGATTAGATGTTATAACAGGCTTTGGGAAACTGAAACGTGGCCGTAAGTGTGGAAGAATGGACTTGTTGTCAAGATATTCAAGAAAGGTGATTTGCGTGATTGCAACAACTGGAGAGGAGTGACTTTGCTACCTATCATGAGTAAAATACTCCAAATGATGCTGCTAGGGCGGATCGAGAAAGGTGTAGAGGTGGTGCTCTAGCCATCAGTACGCACTAATTATGCTATTTCTACATTTAAATTCTCTGCTATAAAAATTTGGGAACCTGTACCACCTGAATTTAAACGTTTTCTATACATGCTATTCAAAAAGCGGTATAAAAGATTGTTATTGAGTACTCAAAATTGACCATAGTTTAACTGTTAGCTATATAAGATAATGCTTCACAATATACAGTTGTCCTTTTATTCCAACTTGCATTTGTGTATGCCTTTCTTCTCTTACGATAACAGTATCGTCTTTAATGTAACTATTTATTTAAATTATATTTAATATGCGGCCAACCCCAACTCATATCTACACATGACAGTGACGAACTCGAAAGCTCATTGGCCACTTTGGTCACTGTACACGATTAAATATTCTTTCTTCTAGTTAATTTCTGTTTGTCATTTTCTACATCATTGTAAATCATGTTATGTTAAGTTATTTTTTCTGTAAACAGTGTGAAATAATAAACTTGAACTTGAGCTTGAAACTTGAACTTGTAGACAAGACGCTTCAAAAAGAGCAAGCTGGCTTTAGCGCAATGACAGTACAACTGAACAGATCCTTATAATTAAAAAATAACATCTTAGAGCAGGCAAACGAGTGGAGTGCGAGTCTGTAAACGCACTTTGTGGACTTTGAAAATAGCCTTCGATTCGGTTCACAGAGAAAGCTTGTGGAACATCATGGGGAGCTATGGAATTCCGCGAAAGATGGTGAGCGTTCTAGCAGGCATATACGAAGTGTTGGAATGCACCGTAATCGACGGATGGAAGATATCAGACTGGTTCAAGATTAAGTCAGGAGTAAAGCAGGGATGTGTAATGTCAGAATTCTTATTCTTGATGTCTATGGGTTGGATCATGAGGAAGACAACAACAGACGAGAGAAGAGGGATACGGTGGAATTTAACAACAGTGTTAGAGGATCTTGATTTTGCGGATGACATCGCTCTACTTTCATCCAAGTTTAAAGACTTGGGTGTAAAGACAAGGAGATTGACGGAGGAAGCAGCCATTGTAGACAGGGAAGGTAGAGACGGTGAAGATATAAGAAACAGACCGCAGAAAGCACGCGGTGCATTCCAGAGGCCATGGAAGGTGTGGGCAACCAGAGGAATAAGAGGGAGAACCAAGATACGCCTATTCAAGACTTAGTCGAACCGGTCCTGTTATATAGTCGTGAAACATGGAAGATCACAAAGACCGGTGGAGGAAAACTGAACAGTTTCTAATGCCAATGCCTAACACGGAAACTGATGATCAGATGGCAGCATAGAATGAAAAATAAGAGAGTAGTTGAAAAGGCAGAGATCAATGAAATTAGTTGCAAGGTGCGAAGAAGAAGGTGGAACTGGTTAGGACACGTACTCAGGAGAGAGGGTGTGAACAACTGTTTTACGGCATTAGGGTGGACACCAGAAGGTCGAAGGGCAAGAGGAGACCAAAGACCACTTGGAGAAGGACTGTCGAAAGAGGAAGAGGCAAGGCGAAGTGGAAGAGATGGAATGTGGCCTGGGCAGCGGCACGCGACAGGGGGGTTGGGCGGACCATGTGACGGCCTTATGCCCTACTGGCCCAACGAGCGATGATGATGATGATGATGATGATGATACACACCGCAAGTGACAGTTAACTTTAATTTAAGTAAAATTGTAACACGTGGTTTCTTGGTGAAAGGAAATAAATAATTACTCTGAAGCTAAAGAGCGGAAACAAAAATAAATTCAGAGAAAAAGTGTAACGCACTTTTGGGGTACACTCTACTCTCAATTGTTTATCATAAACGTTCACCACGTCACAAACTTCCAACACTCTCTCCTCAGTCCCACCACTCCAATTATCACGTCTCCTATTTCAATCTTAACCAAACCGTGACTGCGTGAGTCACATGTCACGCAATTTCCGTTTAAAAGGTTACTTGGAACTCACTTTGTAATCAGTGAGTTAGATAATACATACCGTTCTAGAAGTTTGACAAACCTTGGGAATACTTGAACTGTCTGCAATCAAAGGTCGAACAATTTAGAATCACGTGCTTTTAAAGGTGCACCAGCAGCAAAGGTATATGATCGTTTGGAGGACAAATGCCTTTATTATATAAAACAAATAGAATCCATGTTGCCGAGGCTCTTTACAGTAACAGATCACAGATGACATCACAACTGTGGTAAGAACATCAGTGACACACTCAGCTGTACTTCGTGTGCGACTCTTTTGTTCTGGCCACATATGATTTCTTGCTGAACAAACGCAGGGCGACATGGAAGGTATTTTTAAAATTTACATGTATTGAGAGTAGTTTGTTGTCATTTTCGGTCCATCGCTTCCTATCACATAATGACACAGACATTTGAAACGCTTTGACCCAATTATTTAATGAATATCAAAACTTCTTCTATAAGCTGTTAGACATTCTGGACTCCTACCGGCGGAAGCAGCTAGGCTGCGCCTTCTGCATCGAGCACTGCCACAGTTACTGAGTTTCTATTCCTTAAGGTTTCTTTTGCAAGTATTCCGAAAAATGTTTACTTTCTGTCCACGGTTTATGTGACCGTAATCAGTCAAGGATTACATTCGCAGCTGATCCTGCGTAATGAAGGAATACTGAAAAACGAAACGAAATTTTTGATGAAAACTGGCGGGAAGAAGGATTACTATTGGAAATAACAGGCGTCCTTCTAAGGAATACTGACGTTTGGAACATGATGTAAAAAGATACTTAGCGAAAAGAAGTAGTTTTCTTTGCTGCTATTTTTTTTCCTTCTTAATCTCCCACACCAGAGATCTCACAAGCTTTAGTCTGCACCCTGCAGGTGCTATGCATTTGTCAAGATTATTTTTCAAACTTCTTTCGCCCTACAAAATTCGTGGCTTACTTGAGAGGGGGCTAATCCGAAAGATCATAATTTACAAACAAAACACTTCGAGAAACTTTAAATGGAAAAGATAATACTTCTAAGGCGTTTATCAAATGAATATGATGTCATACCAACAGGCCATATCTCTTTATTCGCTAAAGTAATTACTTAACTGAGTAGGTTACTGGGTTGCGTCAATTGAGACAAGATAATCTATTTCCTCTTGGGTACGTTTGGTTGCACTCACCCGAAATAATTGATCGTTGAGGATAAGTCAAAATGACGGGTAGACCAATGAATTTAGCCTCAGTAAAACACTTTCCCCAGATTAAGCCAAGAGATCCCTTTGAAATAATAAGCGACCTTCTACGAAGTATATCATTTGTTTTACCGACTATCATTGAATTCGCTTTTGTTTCATCATTGGTCCATTTTTGCCCTCAGAAAAATAACCTAACAATGTGCCTTAACCCGTTCATCTTAATTCTTTTTGAAACTTACTTCGCTCTACAAAAGTCGGTAAAAATTCCTCGCATAGACACCATTTCACATTGCTCACATAAATGGAAAGTAGATAATAGAACACGGAAATACTAAATTTTGGTGATTTGCTGACTGCACGCGTTTCTGGCGTGACATTTTTCAAGCAAGAAAATGTGAAATTTTGAACAGAGGTCAACAATGTTTCTTTCTCCTGTTATAGAATGCTTTGTGCTAAGTCCTTTATCAGAATGGCGATTTACGAATCCATAAAGTGACTAAAGACTAAATAACTGAAATTAGGATAACAAAGGAGTTGCTCACCTTAGGGTATGAGATATGACCCCTTCCCCGGTCCTATTGGTATTTTTCTAGAAAACTTACTTGGCAGCGAAAGTGGATGGGAGGGGGGGGGGGGAGGGGGGCATTAATATAACCATCATTGTAACAGCATCGACTAAAGAAAAAGGCGGATAAAGGGGCAACCTTCAGGCACGTGTGCCTTGTGTGATTACTACAACAATCAAGTTTAAATTATGTTCAAGAATCAAGGAAAGGATAAGGAAACAAGGATAAAACATATTTTAAAAAGCTTTTTTAACAGACTGTAAAAATCTTCTTAAAAGAATCTATGCAGTAAGCATAACAGTTCGTTTTGATTTCCGTGTAAGCGTCAAAATTTCAACCAGACAAGGCAAGAAACAAAAAATTAATCACGCGCAACCAGCCTTCAACTCGTAAACAGGAACACGAATTCAAAGTGAAATCAGTGTGTTACGTATTGTGACCCCAACAAATAATAAGCCAATGACACTGAGTCTTTTTTATTTGCGTCGATAACCACAAACGTCACATTTGTGCGTTGAACCGTTAAGTGTAAACTGAGCTGTTTAGTCCTATGTAGGTAAAAAAATTATAAAAAGCAAAGCACATCAGCTCGCCCCCGATCCTTAAGGCAACATTTTAAGAAATTCTCGAATCGGCAGGAGTGCGTTCTGAGGAGAAGGGAAGGGGGGTTTACTTGCACACAATTCCACATTCCCTCTTTGAATTCAAGGCAGACAAAAGACAACAACAAGAAAATACTCAATTTGGCGATTTTCTAAGTGTAGTCGTGTCTGGTGTGATATTTCAAGTAACTGGAGTAAGCTCTTGAACAGAGGTCAAACATATTCGCATGTCTTCTTCTAGAATGTTCCGCTCAAATTTTATTTTTGAACCGCATTGAAACAATTCTTGGAGCAAACAAGGAGAAAGTTTTAAATTGAGAGTCTTTCACCGAAGGAAAAACTTTCGAACGAACAGTTCAGTATAAAGTTCACAATCTTCAGCAATAACACAACTTATAATTTCTTCATCAAAATACACCGCCAGCTAGGAGCATATAAGGTTACAAAATTAGGGGAAAGTAATTGTGAATTCGAAAAGATCTCTGATCGACTGCGGAGTTGTTTTTGTCAGTTTATTTCCACGGTGTCCTCGCACATACATTCGCAAAACTTCCCCAACATCAAAACATACACAATGACTAAATCGACAAGAAAGTTCATGATCCTTTATCAATAACATCCAAAATGTCCCGATCTGTACATCAAACAAAGCGCATTTAACGATAATACTTTATCTAATATTGTACTTGACGACGATGAATTACCACAGTCTTTTCAAACGATTTGAAATTCAGCAAATCAAGAATCGTAGTAATTCTGTCAAGTTCTCCACGGAATAAAAGACAAATTTCCAAATTGTTGTATGCAAAACGGAATCGATTTAGCATTTTGTAAATGATTAAAATGAAGCAGGGTTGAACTAGTTCGTAAAGCCGTTAAGCTTTGTAGTTTGAGCTTACGAGCAACAATTTGTTACAACACCCTTGATGGATCTCACGCCAAGCTATGTCTCGTTGTAATCAAACGCTAGTTGGAATTTGCGTCTCAAATTTAGCTTACAAGTGATCTATACTTACTTCTTTAAGGATTTCAGGAACGATTGAGGGAACACGTCGTCGTTTTCAGCCAGCAAAATGACAAAGTATTGCTTGAGAACAACCACGATCAAAACTAAAACCAATTTGCATAGCGCAGCATATCTGATGAAATTGTTGACTTTTACGTCACCAGCAGACAGATTTTCGCCGGATCTTATCGGCATTCAAACTGCAGATGACTAAATTGAAGGCTGGGGTAGGGTTTGGAGGAGGAGGAGGGTCATTAAGGAATTTTATTCGCTTTGCGCTTAAAAATTCTGGATAATCAACGAAATTTAAGGAAGAGTCATTTTTTATAGTCCGAGAGGTTGTGGGAATTTTTTTTTTTTTTTTTTTTTTTTTTTGGGGAGAGGGTGGGATCACATGGAGTTGAAAGAACAACTGTAGAAGATTGACTGCTGATTAGCGAAGATCAATATAATACCACGGAGCTTTATGGGGAGATTAGGTAAATTTTATTGTTCTAAAACCAAAATACTCCGCCCCGCACCACCCTCCCCTTCAGGGAGTAACTAATGACCCAGCCCCAGGGAGTCCTCTTTTTCGAAGGGTGTGGAAAACTCGTTAATGAGGGTAAGGACTTCAATCGACCTTCACAAAGCCTTTTACGTCAGTGATACTTCCAGAAGTGGCCACTTCTCATAAAGTGGTTCTTTTAGCTGGGTGGGGAGGGGAGTGGGGAGGGGGGAGGGGGTGGGGCTTGGTGGGGGGAGTCACCAATTTCGAGACGCAAGAGCTTTGGTAGAGCTAAAAGGACAAGTAGCATTGTATATGGCCCATTCTAACATAAAACAAATTACACATCACAATAAGAAGTATATTTGCATTGAAGTCAACTAAACAGGTAATTATAAAGCAATTCAAACAAAAGCCTACCATCACTATATCTAATACAAATTTTAAAAGCTTTTCACTACAAACGAAATCAATTTTTTAGGTACTTTTCAGAGGATTGGAAAGGAATTTTTTTCCAGAGTGTCCAATACTCCAAAAGTATGTAGAAAACTGTGCACATTTTAAACCCATTCATTTGAAATTAATAAAAATATTCTTTTATGAGATGTAAAGAAATTCATTCACTTTTCAGTTTAATTGTGATCTGCAGTAAAAGGTCTGAAATAAGATAAAGGTGAAAATTCACCATGTTGAGTGTTTACTGAATGTTTTGGGGCTTTGATTTAAGGCTGGGAGCCTTAACAAAATTGAAAAATTTATTCCTGTCACTAAATATATGCTGATTAATTTTTAAGTCATTGCTAGATTTTTGCCACCATTTCCAGCCAATTTATAATAGTAATAGGACTGAGTCGAGTCCAATTCAATCTGTAATCATACAAGTGATTGAAAAAATTTGATGAATGCAAGGCGGGAGTCCAATTTGTCAATCATGAGTATGATTACAGACAGAATTCAATGTCAACAAGTCCTGTTACCAATTAATCATAACTGTTATAACTTCCGAAAACAACAAATACATTTAGGTCAAATATCTCTGGTAGAGGCAATGTCTAAAGTAAAAAATATGTCTCCATTTCGGAAATTCTTCAAATTTTTTTTAAGGATAAGTGGCTGCTGACCTCTCACGCGAAAACGTTCCTTACGGTTTGCCGTTTTGAAACGGATAGCCGTTCGTAAGCCGTTCATCAGCCGTTCGAACGGGATGGGATGCCGTTCGAACGGCTTGAGCTATCCGTTCAAAAACAATTAGGAGCCGTTCGAACGGCTGGAGCTATCCGTTCCAAATAGATTGGGAGCCATTCGAACGGCTTGAGCTATCCGTTCAAAAAAAATTGGGAGCCGTTCGAACGGCTGGAGCTATCCGTTCCAAAAAAATTGGGAGCCGTTCGAACGGCTTGAGCTATCCGTTCAAAAAAAATTGGGAGCCATTCGAACGGCTGGAGCTATACGTTTCAAAAAAGTTGTGAGCCGTTCGAACTGGATGTTCGTGGCGAACGGCTGGCGATATGTTTTGAAACCGTAGCTTACAATTCCTTTGGAAGGGATGTTTCGAGCCGTGATCCTGTCAAAGTTAATAGTCTTCGCACTGCGATCAGTCAAGAGTACATCGGACAGACTAAAGTTAGTTTGGTAAACACTTGAAGGTTCCTAATATAGCGTGTTTCCCCTCTGCAAGGAATTAAACTCTGCTTTGTTTAGAGCATGCTTGCCAAACCAACAGTACAGCGTCGCCTGTGTTCGGAAACGAGATGTTTACAAAGTCAATTAATGGCGTTACATTACGAATTCTGGAAATGGTTACATGACAATTATTTTAAAAGAGAACGCAGACTATTACTGGCTTTTGTTTCTCCCCCGCGAAAACGAATTTGCTTTACTCTCAAAAGACTTATTATTTTCAAAACAGGATTAGATTTATTCTAGGTTTCCTATCAGTTTTCAGATCTAAGCGGCGCGTGTCGCGTTTATCTTAATTACTGTCATTTCGTTCGAATGTTTTTGATCGGCCGTTCAACCGTTTACTTTGACCTTATCCGTTGAAAACTTCAGCCGTTCAGCCGGTCGAAATTTTCCTTCAGCAGTTCAGCCGTTCGACTTCAACCGTTCGAAACTTTTCTGAAGCCGTTCAGCCGTTCGACTTAAACCGTTCGAAATTTTCCTTTAGCCGTTCAACCGTTCGACTTCAACTGTTCGAAATTTTCCTTTAGCCGTTCAACCGTTCGACTTCAACCGTTCGAAATTTTCCTTTAGCCGTTCAACCGTTCGAAATTTTTTGAAGCCGTTCAGCCGTTCACGGCATCCGTTTTAAACGGTTTCTCTATCCGTTTGTCATCCGTTCACATACCGTGCGTTCGACCGTTCGAACGGATACCGTAAGGAACGTTTTCGCGTGAGAGGTCACAGTCTGTACTGTACAGTACTACAGTAGTAGTAGTAGTCACTACTACTACTGTCCAATTACGCTGTCCAATTAAAGCTGTACAGAAAGATAAGAGAAAAATAATGCAGCTAATGCACCAATCACATTTGAAGAAATTGTAATGGTTATGATTAGTGCCTGAATAGCCTGTTCCAGGCATTCAGTGGGTAAAACAAAGTGTGATAGTAAATGCCGCTTATAGGAGCAGAGAAGTGAAAAAGCAAGGGAGGCTTGGGTTGAGTCACTCAATGAATCCCACTTGACCCAAGCTTCTCTCGCTGTTTCACTTTTCTGTGCCAGTCTTCACTCTGTTTTACTAACCTGGAGTGAGCCAATGCCTGAAACAACCTTGTGTCATTTTAAAAATTATTTTTGTATTATCCGTGTCAAATTAACATAATCCAATTTCATAAAGAAAATTAACAATAAATTTTGGCTACCAATTTACGGTGTCATCTCTTTTCTTTGCACTGAGTGATTAAGCAGATTTTTTCATGTCATGCAATAGCTTGGCCAAAATGGCATAGGTATCTCTTCTATTCTTTAACCGCAATTCAGTGTACTGGATAAGACTGGCTTGCAGGCTCAACACCCTTTGCCTATTGTAACAGATCATCTATATTAAAAAAAAAGAATTAAAATCAATCAAGAAAGCAGATTGTCTGCTGCAGTTAGAGCCACATGACAATTTCCCTTTATGTGCCCTTAACAATTATTTATTATTTTTATTATTATTTATACCATTTTGCCTCTGCTTAATACACCGGCGCAAAGTATTCATTGCCAAATCACCGAATATAGTCTGGAAAAAAATTGTTCGTGTGTATTTTTGTCTCTTCGGCTTCTCGGAGGTTAATAGTACTTGCTGATCACTTTTGAGCTGATCAATCAGCATGCGCAAAAAGCACTATTCACTTGTGTGGTATATACTAATTTTTTAATATTCAGATTTTTAACATGAAAACAGCACAAATATTCATATAATCCTTTGACATGTGTCTTACATGTAAACCAACAGCATGGTGGTCTGCCTGTAAAACGAACTGAGAAATGCCACCAGTTAAGGGTAGCATGCAAAATTTTCCAGCTAAACAGTAAGAAAGTCTAAGTAAAACAAAAGGTTTTTTAATATCACTTTATTCACCTCATTCTTTGCAGCTTCTGAAATTGAATTTTATGCTTCCTCTGCATCGTCTTTAGCTTTTTGAAGCTGAAAATAAAAAAAGCATGCATGAAACAATTTGGCATTCTATAATTGTGGCATTCACTATAATCATTCAAAAGCTTGACTTGACCTTCAATTCTTTTGCTAGCGGATGAGCAGCCTTATGTGAATCAGGTGAAAGCAAACACTCAATCATGTTTAACAAAACAAAAGGGAGGTACCAAAAGAATGCACATCATGTGCAAAGCATGTGTTTGTCTGAATCTTACCATTTCTTGGTTCTTGGGTTTGGCTTTTTCCAGTGCTTTTGTGGCATTCTCAAACTCAACTAGTTTACACATACGACAGAAACACATCTCCTTCTGGGTTAGAAATGGTCAAAACAAGTGCATTAGACAGTTAAATTTGTTCATCTAGGGACAGCAAGAAGAAATAACTAATAGGGAAAATGGGTTTTCAAAGGTAGGGCACTGGAAGTACCACAACCAGCTCATCTGTACTTAATGGTTCCAGATTCAACTACTACCACAAAGCATTCCACCATTCCAGTCTTTGTTTGAAAGTTTTCCTTTCCTTTTTTGCACTGCAGTTCAAAAATGAAATGCAAATTCTCTCAAAGGGTAAACAATACAAGAGCGCTTTTTCTCCAGATAAACACTCCCTTGTGCTACATGGATGCATTTATTTTTGTCTATGACTAAAAAAATTTAATGCAATAAAGATCGAGGGGGTAAAACCCAGTCTTCTTGTTCAAGACACGCCTCCCAAACCATGCGGGAAACGGAAAATTGATCAGTCAACAGTCCGGCTGATGAATTTCTGTTTAGACATGCAGTGATCCTGAACTTTTCTCTCTGCTGTGATTATGCTCTCATCCTGGCCCACCCCAGAAGAAAATAATCACCTCCTTTACCCTTCCCTAACCCCACCCATGAAAGGAAAGCCGTTATCCTTTACAGAGTTAAATAAGATCTAAGTTTTCCAATACATATTTCACATACCTTGGTAGCATTTATCTGGAATAAAGTTCTAAAGTAAAACCTAATGTGATGTCATCAGTAGTGGACATAACATTCAGTGATTCCTAAGAAAGAAGATGACACACACAAATAAGACAAAACAAATTAAGCTCTTGGAATTGAAAAATACTGCCAGCAACACTAGATTCTGTCTAAAAATACTACCATACCTTGACACCAATTAGTGCATTTGAAAAAGGCACAAAACTCCTGTGAAGCTAAAAATAGTTTTTAAAATTAGCTTTTTCTTACACCCTGACATCAGAATGTATATTCTCAATACTGTTCTTGGTACATATTCTATTATACTGACAAGGAGAAGTTGTTCAACAATCAAGAGCTTCTTTGTTTTTTTCTATCATTTCCTTTATTCTCATGACCTTAATGTACTATGCAGCAGTGATATGGTGAGGAGAATTTAGATGCTGATCACTTCAACAAGAGAGGAAGAAGAACACTACTGCATACGGGATAAGGTGTTGATGGGTCTTGTAAGCTGACTTAACCATTCAAAAATATGGAAATATGTTTGCCTCTTATTTTCAGTTCTCATGATGGTTACAGCGAGTAGAGCTAGCATATAAGATGAGGTAAAACAGTGGTTATTCACATGGGAAAAAAAATCAGCCAAACTATATGTCTGGTCCATCATTGCTTGCATTGGAAGTTTGACATCACAGGTTAATAATGGAAAGATATGAAATAAATATTAAGTAATTATTACAAAATTATATCATTTAGCAATTTCAGACAAAGAACAACAAACCCTTTCAATTCCTTGGTACTATTATCATCACCAGCAGATGCTGTCATGATGTCAGAACTAAAATCATTCACTGCTAATGCAACACCTAAAATTCACAAAGAAATTCAAAATTACCAAACTTACATATGTATAAATATGCCATCATGGTAAGATTGTCATAATCATACATTATCATAAATTATCAAAAACAACTGTCATTTTGCAACATCCTAATACTGAAGAAATGTAAAATGGTTTCCATGTTTACATAGCCTGATGTAAACACATTATGGAAACCATGACATGAAGCAGAGTGGTTTCCAGCTTATCGAGTTTTACATTTCGACCATTATGTAAACACGGAAACCATTTTACATTTCTTTTATAAAATAACTAATGAAAGAGGAATGAAAACCGTGTTTACATACGCTCATGTAAAATAGTTTTATAGCCAATCAGAGCGCACGTACTATTTGAATTATTTTATAAATTACAATACTATATGATTGAATAATACTTCAAGTATGTCTTTGCCACCCTCATGTTGTTCTTACATGAATGTTCTTTAGATATCAAAGTTTTGGCCATACTTTCTGTCAAAATTCACTAGGCTGGACCATTCACCAAAATCATGAGATTTGAGGGTGTAATTCACTATTTCAGCCTAAACAACCTTAATGCAGATTACACATTCCAGCAAATAAAACATTGCTACATACCTTGCTGACTGTTTACCATTTTGGTGAAGTTCTACAAAAAACACACAAGTAGAAAAACATTTATTTATTGAAGGAAATAATCTCAAAATTGTTAACTCTTACTTAGAAGCTAAAACCAAATCTCACTTTCCTCTAAATCCTTGTTCTCGTCATAGGTGCTGTTTAGCACAAAACCAATTTACAGAATCATAACTTAACTGTTTATGTTATTATTGACATTTAGACATTTCCAGCAGAGTCAGCATTTTGGAATTCCAGGTCTTTTTTTCCCTCATAAAAGACCCCTAAAGCAAACCAACAAGATGCATGTAAATGTAATCTATCCTTCACCCACAAGTAGCTCAGGGTGCAGAATCCTAGCCCAGACTAACGTGGTGAGAGGGAAGCATTTACACCATCAACCCTTAAACTCCCATGCATGACCAAAACATTATTTCTCCTCACCTAATTAATACAACACCAAGCAGGCAAGTGATGCTCCAATTATTAGTTGATCCAAAACCAAATTCTCTCAACCAACATCATATGAATTGTATGGCAGACAGTAAGGGAAATAACTGAATCATAATACACCCCTTGGAAAGATATTACTACTGACCCCATATGTCTCCTTGGTAAGTGGTGTGTACTCTTCCACAAAATCTCTTTTCTTCAGAAATTCTTCAACAAGATCCTAACCAAAAGGAATAACTTCTGGTTATTTGTATTTCTAGGAAGGCCAAGTCATTCTTGTACTGGTTAAATTCAAAAGAAAGTTAGGTCATCTGTGAGCAGGGCCACTGTAACCCTTTAACTCCCAGAAGTGATGAACATGTAACTTCTCCCTTTAATATCCATACATTATTCAGCAAACAGGTAATGAGAATACTCAAACTCATCAGGTACAAGATATTACCCTGATTGAACACCAAATTCTTGTAACTAATTCACAAGGAAATGTGTAGCAGCTACAGGGGAGAATTAATAATCAGATCTTGGGAGTTTAAGGGTTAATTGCACTTTGGCAAGAGTGTTTCTTCACCCACAGAAGAGAATGAGGCCTAGTAGAGCAACACAAGCTGCTGAGAGGCCTGTGAAGGGTTAACAGTGATAAGGAAGGACCAAGTAATCAGCAGTTTAATCCCTGAGAGTGACTGACATCTAATTTCTCCTTACCATATCCCCACTGAACCAAACATTAAGGCCAGGAGAATAAAGGAGCTGATCAGCTCTTGATTGTTAGACAAATTCTCCATGTCAGCATCTTAGGAAATGTCTAGAGAACAGTATGGAGAATATGCATACTGATGTTAGGATGTGAAGGGTTAAAACACTGTCTCTCTGTATGCCATAATTCAAACTACAATAATTCATATTTCACAGCCCTGAATGAGACATACACTGTATGTATGATCCAAAACCAAATTCTCTGAACAAACATCATATGAATTGTATGGCAAACAGTAAAGAGAATGACTGAACCATAATGCACCCCTGGAGTAAGATTCTATTTGGAAAAATATAACAACTACTGACCCCATATGTCTCCTTGGTAAGTGGTGTGTACTCCTCCACAAAATCTCTTTTCTTCTGAAATTCTTCATCAAGATCCTAACCAAGAGGAACAACTTCTGGTTATTTGTATTTCTAGGAAGGCTAAGTCATTTGCATAATGGTTAAATTAAAAAAAAAGTAAGGTCATCTGTGAGCAGGGCCTCTATAACCCTTTAACACCCAGAACTGATAAACATGTAACTTCTCCCCATAATATCCATACATTATTCAGCAAACAGGTAATCAGAATACTCAAACTCATCAGGTACAAGATGTTACGCTGATTGAACACAAAATTCTCGTAGCTAATCTACAAGGACAAGTGTAGCAGCTAGAGGGAAGAATTGAAAATCAGATCTTGGGAGTTTAAGGGTTAATTGCACTTTGGCTAAAGTGCTTCTTCACCTGCAGGAGAGAATGAGACCTGGAGCAACATGAGCTGGTGAGAGGCCTGTAAAGGGTTTAACCCTTTAACTCTCACAAGTGATTAACATGAAACTTCTCCCTATAATATCCATACATTATTCAGCAAACAGGTAATGAGAATATTCAAACTTGTCAGGTAGAAGCTGCTATCTTGATCTAGTATCAAGTTCTCAAAACTAATTTATAAGGAAATACGTAATAGCAGCTAAAGGGGAGAATTTACAATCAGATCTTGGGAGTTAAAGGGTTAACACTGATAAAGAAGGACCAAGTATTCAGCAGTTTAACCCCTAAGAGTGACTGACATCTATTTTCTCTTTACCATATCCTCCCTGAATCAAACATTAAGGTCAGGAGAATAAAGGAGCTGATCACTGACTAGAGAAGCTCTTGATTGTTAAACATGTCAGCATCCTAGAAAATGTTTAGAGAACAGTGTGGAGAATATGCATACTGATGTTAGGGTGTGAAGGGTTAAAACAGTCTCTCTGTATACCACAATTCAAACTACAATTATTCATATTTTACAGCCCTGAATGAGACATACACTGTATGTAATTAAACAATAATCCAGTGATATCACAATTTTACTAAATAAAGACTTCTTAGATAAAAAAATCAAAACAAAACAAAAAAAACAAAAAATCCTGGAACAATTTGTACCTTGTGACTATGATGCCTGAGATCATCCACAGCTCATGATATAGACTTGTCCTAAGACCCTTTTTCACTTTGCTTCTCACTGCAAGCTATGTAATAAAAAAAAAAAGTGTTTATACCTTACACTGTAAGTGTATGAGCATGAGAGATGCCATTAAGCCACTGATCACTGAGTTGAAAAGAGATTAATTTCTCAGAGCAAGGAGTTTAATAATGATTATCAAACTTAGTTTTACCAAGTTGCAACAGACATTTTGTCACAAAAGAAATCCCCCAGGCATATACATACAATCAGCAAGAAAATTGTCAACACACTACCATTGAAATGGCAATATTCTGGAATAGCATACCAATTATATTCCTTACTTTCAACTCTTCTTCTCATGTACAATGTTTCTTTAATTGTTTTACACCATTCTACAACATTGACTGGTGGAAGAGCTTATTGTTGCAGTGAATTGTAGTTCAATTTTCACTCCATTTCTACATAATTCCTTAGAGGTGGCTCAGTGGATGTTGTGTCAACTGATTTTATCTTTAAAACATTTATGACCCCTTAAGATGAAAATAGTCACAATTATTGTTGATTTTATGAAAAATATACCTATGGAGTTTAAATCAAGTGTTGTTTTGCCATAGTATGTCAGTTTACAAATTTTGTGGAAAAAATCACCCACACTCACAGGGATCATGGCCAAATATCTGTAAGAGTATCTTATTATTTGAAAAACTCACATTTTCCTCTTTCAAAACCTTCTGCAAATCTTCATCTTTTGAAAAGGCTGGGTGGCTGACAACAAGTTGAAAAAATCTGAAAAACATTAAAAATTTTAATTCTTGAGATGGGCTAATATGCAATGTAAACATGAGAATCAACAGTGTCTCCCAGAAAGTATATTAAATTTTAGAGAGAAAATAATATCTTCAAGAAAAACTGAATCTTTCCTGAGGAAGTTTCTCTAAGATCTGTTTGTTGTTGGGTTGTTTTCTTGATCATTTTTGTTTTATTTTGCCAGTTTACTGGGAGAAAAAAACTTAAATGGAAAATTAACCCTTTATATCCTAACAGTGACTAACATCAAATTTCTCCTTACAATATCACACCTAAATCACAAGTTAAGGTCATGAGTGTAAAGGAAATGATCATCAACAAAAGAAGCTTTTGATTGGTAAACAAATTCTCCTTGTCAGCACCTTAGGAAATGTATAAAGAGCTGTATGGAGAATATGAATACTGAATCTAGGGTGTAAAGGGTTAAAAAAACACTTTCCCAACCCGCTGCTTTTCTTTTCAATACTCTGTAATCTGCTGTAAATCCATACAATTACTGAACTGTTCCCTTTTCCTATTCCTTCATTACTCCTTTCCATTGGTTATCCTCAATTTCTTTACTCCACCATAAACTTTGTTTCAACATTAAAATATACCTGTTTTTCTCCTTTCTTCCATTTCTCTGAACATTCCTCTGTAACCCAAATCCACATCGTCCCTGAATTTCTGTCTTACGAGTCCTTCATGATGTGTAGCTCAGTAGCTCGATGTGCGGCGCTTGGTAACCACCCTGTCTCACTTCGCTAACAAACCACCAGCAGAGTTCTATTTGTGTAGTGCGTCAAGAGGATGGTTTCCAAATGACAAAGTACCGGCTGCATCTATGGAAAATGCCTTATGGCAACGATACTACTGACTCTAGATCGTTACTACCAGAAAGCAAGGCTGGTCATCAAGTTAGCAGCCATGTACAGCTTTTTTGGCCTTGTTAGGCCTGATAAATAAGGCGTTGCTCACATAAGGGGCTTGGTTAGCTTATGAAAAATGTTTTGAATTACATATGGTACATTTGCAGAAAGAATTAGAGGTGTGGAGGCCCCATAGTCTGCGTGTTGGAGTCTGAGTCGAGAGATTCCTATTCAACCCTCGGGCATGATTTTCAAAGTTCCACTAACTTCAGAAGAACAAATATAACATTTACAAATTAAATTATACGCAATGATGATGCGAGTCTTCGTCCAGACACTAGTGAGTTCTTTTTCTTTCCTTGTCGTCTTTACTGTTTGCATTTCAAATTTGTCAAAATCTCTATCTCGAAAGAAACATGGCAAACAAAATCCGCCTGGCCCGTTAACTTCCCGGATCTTTCGAGAAACGGGCTCCTGGTCTTTTTCATAGGAAGGGGTTTTTTTCACAATCGTTAGGCCTCTCTCTAAACAGGATTACAAATGAGTACCGCTGAACTGTGAGCCTGAAACGAATCGTCTCCCAGCTAACTGTTGCATTTCAAATATCTATATCAAT